CCACTTAGCTCTGGGTTGCCTCCTCTGTTGTTTTAACAGGTATGATTTATGAAGTTTTCAATAATGTTAACAGATACCGGTTTGCTGCTTGCATTGGCTAACATATAACTTGTAAATCTTTCATATCGAGCTTTTAAAAAAATCTGAGTTTTTCCTAAAGATTTTTGTCAGCATAAGGAGGGGAAGCAGCAGACAGAGAGAGAAGCCGACTCCCCACTGAGCAAGAAGCCTGATGTGGGACTCGATCCTAGGATCCTGTGATCATAGATTTTTTAGAAAAAGTTTACTCGTTGTGTTACTTTATTGCTCTATCCGATTTTGAAAGCGTAGCTTAGAATACTTGTAACAGGTGAAGTAACCTGCGGTTGGATTACTGGGTGCAGTTACTGGCTCCTGAAACAGTAGCATATTAATAGGATTTTTAAATATGATGAGTTAATTTAAAGTTTTCATGTTTGGGGCACCTGGGTGGCTCAGTCCACTAAGCGTCTGACTCTTGATTTCAGCTCAGGTCGTGATCTCAGGGTCATGAGACTAAGCCCCACGTTGGGCTCTGTGCTCAGCGTGGAATCTGCTTGAGGTTCTCTCCTCCTCCCTCTGCCCCTCCCCCTGCTCGCATTCTCTCTTTCTCTGTAAATACATAAATAAAATCTTAAAAATCTTTTCATGTTCTTGCATATTCTGCCAAATTGAGAGGAAATGTGTTTGGAAACTAGGTCTGGCATTGATTTCCTGTTCAGCTGCTTAAACTTTGTGGGTCTGTGTCATGTTGTGGTGTACGATAAGAAAGCTATATTTGGTTTTTCCTCCCATTTTTGGCACAGAGCTCCTAAAACCCTAGGTGATAAGAGTAATAAAGGTAATCTTGTTACTGGTGATGTGCGCCTTGCAGCCACACCTGCAATTATGGTAACACCAGTGCCTTTTGTAAAGCTGCTGAGAGTGGAGGCTGGTCGCCGGTGGACCAACCTTGGTTAGAGAGTTGAACTTGCAGTCCTACCTCTGGAGATGTGTGAGGGTCTAGAGGCAGCGTCAGTCACTGATGGCCAGTGATCGACTCAGTCATCCCTATATAAGGAAGTCTCCATAAAAACCCAAAAGGACAGAGTTGGAGTGCTTCTGGGTTAGTGAATGGGTAGAGGTGCTGGGGGTAGGGGTGGGAGGGGGGAGGGTGATGGTGGGGGGAGGTGGGAGAAAGGTTGGGGGGGGGGGGGTGGGATGGGGGAGGGGGAGGGTGGGGGGAGGGGGGAGAAGGGTGGGGGGGGTGGGGGTTGTGGAAAGTCATGCACCAGGAAAGAGAGAGGGCCCAGGGGCCCTGTGCTCCTTCCCACATACTTGCCCTGGTATCTCTTCTATCTGCTGTTCCGGAGTTGCATCTTTTTATAACAAACCGGTGATCTAGTCAGTAAATGGTTTCCTGAGTTCTTTGAGTGGCTCTCGCAAATTAATAAAAATCAAGCAGGGATTCATGGGAACCTCTGATTTATAGTGAATTGATCAGAAGCACAGGTGACCGCCTGAACTTGCGATGGACATGGGGGTGGGGGCAGTCATGTGGGGCCGTGCCCTTAACCTGTGGGATCTGATGCCGTCTGCAGGTGGCGAGTGCCAGAACTGAATTCAATTGTAGGACACAGCTCGTGCCGCAGAATTGTCCGATGTGTGGAACACCGCAGTTGGCGTCAGAAGTGGTGTTACAGTGAAGTACTGAGAGGAAGAGGAGTGTATATTTCTTAATATACACAGGAGGAGTGTATATTTCTTAATAGTTGTGTGTAAGAACTTAATAGTTCTTAACAGCATATGAAACAGCATATGCTGTTTCTCTGGGTTCAATGAGACCATTTTTTGCTTTACTGAAAACTCAAAACTTTGCGACAAACACTTGCACTTCCGTGGTTGACCACTAGATGTCATCAGTGCCACAGGAGCCCTAAGGGTTACCCAAGGCCGGTAGAAACTGAACATTGTAAGCTCGTAGACCTTCACATATTTTGCTGTTTCCACATGATCGATGCCAGAAGAACCTGATACTGTGTGATATATAGAAGCAAGGTGCAACTGGAATAATGAAATTTCAAAAATAAGCCTTTTTAAAGGAGGGTTGTAATAGTTCTATTGGGTATTGTAAATGTTTCAGGTGCACTTGATATCACTGTTGGGTTCCTGGGTCTCTCTCTTTTTTATGGAAAGATGGATTGAACTTCAATTTAAGAATATTCGGTAATCCCTCTCAGGACGTACTGTAACAGCTGGTATTTTGGTGTTGTAGTAAATCGATTCCATACAACAGTCAGTAATAATTACGGCTGGGTTCTGACAAATTCCAAAGTATTTTCAATAAATTTAGCCAAAGAAAATAACATGATCACTACAAAAATTTAGCTCAGTTGGAGAGTTAAACCCAGCAACTCTGCTTCGTTGCACAAAATAGTAAGCATTTTTTATTGGTTGGGATTTTATCAAACCATTTGCTTTTTATTAGTATACATAGATATGTTCTGAGGAGATAATTACTTTGTAGCATATATTTCTTAAGTAATACGACTTTGGAAAGAATTAACCTTGGGTGTTCATCATAAAATACAAAGTGAGAAATGCTGAGGCCTTTCATAAATGGCTTTATGTGTACAGCACCAGTATCAACTCAGAAGAATGTTTTGCCGTGGGGATGTAAGGTTATCTTAGTAGTAATAGAATGATAGAAGATCACTTACTATATATGGTGTTTGTGGTTTATAAAAGTGAAGCATTGTAAGATCTTTAAGGTGTGAAGAAGGGGTTAGTATCTATGGCATAGACTGTTGTGCAAATATTTCTATGGTTAAGCAATCTATACCATTTAAATTATGATTTTTGGCCTAAAGAGCTTAAATTATCTACGTAACACACACACACACACACACACACACACACACACACACACAAGATAACTATCTACCCACATGTGTACACATATTGCCCTAATGGTAGAAATGAGTGTGCGTATGCTTTACAAATTTCAACTGTTTCCTCCTTTTTTTTTCTCATCAAAACAATAGTCTTATGAGTGCCTTCTTTAAATCATGTATGGTCTGTTTCATACAGACCATAATTAAGGAACACTTTTATGTAGTTGAATTTTAATCCTGATTGTTAGAATAATTTATGAAAGCAAAGCAGAGTTGCCTCTTAAAATTATTGGGGAAAACAGCCTCAGAGATGGGCATTAATGAAACTTTGTCTTTCTCACTTATTTTTAGCTTCGTGATTTAGAGTTTATTTGGTCTTTAAAATAACTGCCCTCATATTTTCAGTTAACAATCTTCTCTGCATACTTTATCAACCCTTGTAATATAAAACAAAATGCAGGCCACTGCATTAGTTTGGTTCAAGATAGTCTCTTTGGTGAATTTTTTCATACTAACGTTTGCTTTGATAGTTAAAAAGCTAATTTAGAAGGTTTTAATAGACTTTTGCAGCTCAGACTTTTTCAAGTGAAATTTGGCAAGCCCGTTATTCCTTATTCTGTAATATGAATCAGCAATTTAAGGGCTTCACGGGTTGAAGTGAGCCAGTTTTTCGAGTGTTTATAATATCTGTTTTTCTTGTTAATATATGTTAAAATATGCTTTTAAATTACTGAATTTGCTTTATAGAGAACTGGGGGAAAATGCATTAAAAATGGACTTAAACACATTGCGTGGGTCTTCTGATTTCTAAAAAAATGTAAATGGAGTGTATTTTCCGTTATTAGGCAGCAGTGGTCCAAATTTAAACCACATGGCCTTCTCCTAGGTGTCAGGCCAGCGTAAATTTTAATCTCGCTACTTTCTTTTATGTTTTCATTTCATAATCTCATTGCCTGAATTAAACAGCTCCAGTCACAAGAGCCAGCATTTCTTGTTTGCTGGTCACATGCCAGACGGTGTGTTGTGAGTCTTGGCCTATTTAATTATCAAACAATTCTAAATTGTTGTTATCTCCATTCGTATAGATGGAAGTGAAGTCCAGTAAGATCAAATACATCGTCCAAGATCACGGTTTAGCAGGTTGAAAGATTAGGCCAGACTCTGGAGTCCTTGCTCTTCCGATAGGAGACAACAGTGCCTTCCTGCTTATGGCGGGATAACCCGTAGTTAAAACAACTTTTGAAAAAAATTGGTATTTTTTCGAAGTGCATCAAGCTTAGCTTTTTACTGAAAGAACTGACTTTTGTGTATTAGCGTGGATCGGGAGGCCTCGTTTAGATTGCTAACACTTCTGCGACTCCCTAACATTTTCAATTCTAGTAGTTTCTCCAGGTGATTGGCAGTTTCAGTTAGAGGACTTGGCAGTGGCATATTAGGATGAGCTAGTTAAAAACCGCAAGTGTGTTTATAAGTCGTGGACCATCGACAGAGTCTACGTTCTGCATTAGAAATATAGCGTGGAATCACAGTAACAGATTGAGAGCATCTTAGAATAGCATTGGCGTGAAAAACCTTCTTTACGGGGCGCCTGGGTGGCTCAGTGGGTTAAAGCCTCTGCCTTCAGCTCAGGTCATGATCCCAGGGTCCTGGGATCGAGCCCTGCATCGGGCTCTCTGCTCAGCGGGGAGCCTGCTTCCTCCTCTCTCTCTCTCTGCCTGAGTCTCTGCCTACTTGTGATCTCTGTCAAATAAATAAATAAAATCTTAAAAAAAAAACCCAAAAACCTTCTTTACGTTCTTAATCTGCATTCAGCAGCCCTCAAAGCAACTGCAGAAATTTTTCTGGAAGCCTTGATACATGCAGGAGGAGCTTTCGTGGTTTTAACTAGAAATTTCACATCCAAATCAAAAACTCTCACCCTTCTTCCTATGTGCACCTAGCGTGTAGACAGATTTGGAAGAATGGTGAAGCGTGTTGGAATAAGAACTCTGAATTAGTCGTAGAACGTTGCAATTTAGTCGCCTTCCCTATTACTATTTTTAAAGTTTTTTTCTTCTTTTTTTTAGAAACGGCCTGCTTGATATATAAATCTTGGTCGACAGCGTGGCTGCAGGCCTCTGGACTGGAATTCTCCGTGGCTTTCTAAGTGGAGAGTGTCTGGTGTGTGCTGTCCGGGCCTGCGGTTTGCATCATGCCGGCCTTGTCAACAGGAGCTGGGAGCGACGCAGGTATGTGAACCCATGAGGGGCGGGTTTCCATGCATTGTTACTGAAATTTTCTTGTTCACCGCATTGCTTTAAGTGAGCGCAGATGGATCAGGCTTGCTTTTCTGGAACCTGCACGAGGGGCACAAAACCAACTCAGATGCATCCTTCGAAGATAAGAGTTGTCAAAGGACCTGGTGGCTCGTGATGATGCCCTCCTACGGCCTTGCCTTTTGGAATACTGCCATGCATTTAAAGTGCTTTTTTAAAAAAAATTGAGTGTTTTAAAGCATACAAAAAAGCGTGCCAAATACCGTGGTAGTCTTGTTATCCTTCACTCAGATTTGATAACACGTATGAACTTTTCTGCCATACTTCAGACCCCTCACTTTTTTAAGAAATGAAACAAGGGCGCCTGGGTGGCTCAGCTGTTAAGCGTCTGCCTTCAGCTCAGGTCATGATCCCTGGGTTCTGGGATTGAGCCCCAAATCAGGCTTCCTGCTCAGGGAAGCCTGCTTCTCCCTCTCCCACTCCCCCTGCTTGTGTTCCCTCTCTCACTGTGTCTCTGTCAAATAATTGAATAAAATCTTTAAAACAAAACAAAACAAAAAGAAATGAAACACAGTCTCTGTGTACCATTCTGGCATTTTCTTTCTTCTTATCCCCACAGGTCAAAAAACCGAAGTTGACGTATGTCGTTAAGGGTTTCGGTTAAAATAAACAAACATAGTTCACCTCATCATCAGTGGTGAGATTTAGTGGTACTTGGAATAAAGGGTTCCAGGAAAGAGAAGAAACTCATGTATGTATGTATGTGTGTGCAGAATCCTGTCCTCCTGACCTGTTTTAGGGAGGTATGTGAGGGAGGTTGGTGCCCCCTTTGAAGTTTTATTCTGGGATCAGCACTTTTTATTTTTCAATTAAAAGAAATGTTAATCAATCAATTAATTATTATTATTATTATTTATTTATTTTTTTTTAGTTTGGTCAACACACAATGTTGCATTAGTTTCAGGTTTACAGAGTAGTGATTCAGCTTCTCTGTAGGTTATGCTGTGCTGCCCACAAGTGTAGCTGACATCCGTCGCGACCCAACACTGTTACAGTCTCATTGACTGTATTCCTTATGCTGTGCCTTTAAGCTCTCAGGACTCATTCATCCCATCACTAGACGCCTTCGTCTCCCACGCCTCTTCCCCCATTTTGCCCATCCTCAGCCGCCTCCCCTCTGGCAACCGTCAGTTTGTTTTCTGTATTTATAGGTGTGAAAATCAGCACTTAAAAAATTCGTGGACCTTTCGCCGAACTATTAGAACAGAATGTGAGCAGGGATGAGGAGCTATGCCTTGCATTTTTTTTTTTTTTTAAGATTTTATTTATTTATTTGACAGAGATCACAGGTAGGCAGAGAGGCAGGCAGAGAGAGAGGAGGAAGCAGGCTCCCGGCTGAGCAGAGAGCCCGATGCGGGGCTCGATCCCAGGACGCTGGGATCATGACCCGAGCTGAAGACAGAGGCTTTAACCCACTGAGCCACGCAGGTGCCCCTTCGCCTTGCATTTTTAAGACCCCCTCAAAAGAAGTGGCATAGTGTGTGACTAAATGTTCTGTGTGTTGCATTGACCGTCCTGAATTTGGTTTAAGCCAGTGCTGTTCTGTAAGCAGCGCGATGGCGGTCTTTGGTGTGGGCAGTTACTGGCACCATAATTTTAAAAAAGCTGAGCCACAAATTTGGAGTTACCCTTCCTTGCTCTCTCAAGCATATCCATACTACCTTTTGGCAAGTTTTGTCTCATCTTTATCCGTCTGTAATGATTTTTTCCACTGTAATTTACACTGAGGATTAGTTTTTCTTAGGAAGTGACTTTGATTTTCAAATATATAAAAATTCTTTTTTTCTCAAGACATTGGCTTAGAAGCTAGGTCCTTTGGAAAAATTTTTTTTTGCTTCGTTCTAGTTTTTATATAGTCCCACATTGTGTTCTACTATATAAAATGAATGATTTAACTTTCCATAGTGGTTTGGGAAATTATAGATGAAATTTATTTGAACCATAAATTTACTGCTGTTGTGTAGCGAATAAGTTTTATGCCTTGCTGTTTGCCAAAAATGCCTCAATTTAATTGAATGCAAAATATTGTTGCTTACAGCTATCTCAAGGAATGATTAAAATGGAGTATTTGTAGTTCATAAAATGGAGTATTTGTAGTTCATGGGGGCAGTCGAAGGGTCACTCATGAAAATAGCAGAGGCTACTCAGAATTGGAAAAGGACTTTCCCTATGTAGCTGGCTCACATTGTGCAAATCTCAAGTACCCGTGTGACTCACACCTGGCTTTGTGATCTTTTTTGACCCATATGTCCCAGCAGGGTTAGAGTCAAGCAGAGAAGATGTGCCTGTTGCAAGAGAAGCTCCAGCATTCAGGGAAGCTGTAGTGCGTGGTGCACTCAGGAGACGATTACTGTTCCCTTGTAGTTCCTTGCAGACCAGATGCAGTTTACCAGTCAGGGGTCTTTCTCACCCACGACAGTGTTTCTTAGCAATGTCCTCTCCAGGGCACTGAGCTGGAGAGCATAACCAAAGAGCCGATGCTCATGCAGCAGGAGAGAGTGGCTCACAGCTGCTCCAGTGCCCACAGTACTCAACGTGGGAAACTACTTCCAAATACTTTTGGTGTAAAACTTAGGCCATCTCTTCCCCTCCCCTCTCTGCTTACTTCACTAAGGAAAAAAGTGTTTAATTACACAAGGAATCCATAAAAACATCCTCCTTGTCAAAGATGTGTAGATAAAAAAGGAAAAAAATTTTTTACCCACCCTTACCCTGCCCCCAATCTCATTTTCTTTCTCCATTTTATGAATATCCTTCAAGAACGTTCTGTACGTTCAGCAGCTATATATTGATGTCCAGAAATAATACTGTTTTAGGTTGTTTTGTTCTTTACTTTTTAATCAGATTCTGTCATACTCGGGGTTGTTCTATAATGTTCTTTCCTATATCAAGTAATGTCTCAGAACTGTATTTCCATGGGGTGTGCGCGCGAGTGTGCACACGTGTGTATCTTTATAACTTTCTATCTGTACATACCTCTGTATATCTACCTCATTCTTTTTTCTTTTTTAAGGATTTTATTTATTTATTTGTCCGACAGAGATCATAAGTAGGTGGGGGGTGGGGAGGGCAGCAGGCTCTCTGCCGAGCAGAGGCTCAATGCAGGGCTCTATCCCAGGACCCTGGGATCATGATCTGAGCCGAAGGCAGAGGCTTTAACCCACTGAGCCACACAGGCGCCCCCCCCCTTTTTAAGATTTTATTTATTTTCTACCTCATTCTTTTAAACCAAGGCATACTTTTCTGTAATATCACAATTCAGTGAACCATACTTCTGTTGACGAAAGACTTGGCTTTGCTCCTTTTGTTACATTTTGGAAGAAAAGATGTAAACCTTGAATGGATGTTGCCAGATTGTCCCCCAGAGTGGCTGAAGCACTCAGTGTCCCGTGGACAGTGCCTTAAGGATTCCTTCCCCTGTGTTCTTGCTGAGCTTCAATATCACAAGCCTTTATACTTTTTCCCCATGGGAAAAATGGGTAAAACATGGTATCTTAAGTGTTAAATGTGCATTACTATTGATACTGAACATACTTCCATCTGTTTAATGGCCATTTGTTCCTCTGATGTGTCAGTTCATATCCTTTTCTTTTTTCTATTGATTATCATTTTCTTAACGTTTTTACAGAATGTCTTTATTTGTATTTTGTATTTTATGGACCATTTTAGGTTGAACATCATTTTTTCTGGTCGACCGTTTGTCCTTTTGTTCTTAAATAGTATCATTTCTTTTATTGAAGTTGATAACTTTTATGTGGACAAATCAATCTTTTCTCTATGGTTAATGGTTCCCCCCCCCCCCATGCTTTCCTACCTACTGCAAGGTCATGAAGATGTTCTCTAAGATTTTCTTCTGATAATGAAGATAGTTAGTTTTTACACCTTTGGAATTTTAGTCCAACTGTGATTTATATGTGGAGTGAAGTCGTATTCTAATTTTATTTCCCACGTGAATAGCCAGTGGTCTCCAAATCACTTAATTCAGTAGTTTGTCCTTTCCACATAAAATTATAATATCCCCTCTGTTGTACATCAATATTACATATACATTCTGGGCTTTCTTTCTTGGCTTTTAAAAAAATAATTTTAATGGACCTTATGTTTCAGAGCAATTTCAGATTAACAGAAAGATTATGAAGATAGTAAAAAGTCCCAGTACACCTTATACCTTGTTTTCGCTGATTATTAACATCTTACCTTAGTTTGGTACATTCATTTCAGTTAGTGAATCAGTATTGATACACTATTATTAACTATAGTCTGTCTATACTTTATTCAGATATTCTCTGTTTTCCCTTTGTATATATGTTGTATATTAATCTCTATATATAATACATTGTGTGTATGTATAATTTCATTAGGCTTCTCTTGGATCTGAAGGTTTCTCAGACTTTCCTTGTCTTTGGTGACCTTGACCCTTCTACAAGTACTAGTCAGGTGTGTTGTGGAACTCCTCTCTCTTGGAATTTGTCTGATGTAAAATGCCATTGTTCTTGTATCAGGGGTAAGGGTACATACTGTCAACTGGACCTATGACTGTTGATGTTGGCCAACAGGGCAAAGCAGTATTTGTCCCGTTACTCCATTGTGAAGTTTCTCTCTTCTCCCATTCTCATTTCCCATTCATCTTTTCCCATTCTTTCCATCCTGTACTGCTTGCCAGGAGTCTTTCTGTGCAGCCCCCACTAGAGTAGTGTGTTAAGCTCCCCCTCCTTTAGAAGCTAAACTATCTGTATAATAGTTTTGGAATATTTTGTCTCTCTTCCCCCATTTATTTATTCAATCATTTATTCATATCAGTGTGGGCTCATGGATATTGATTGATATTTTGGGTTATAATGCAATACTAAATTTATTTTGTTGTTCAGAATGTTACATTTTTGGGTGTTGGGAGCCATTTCAGTTGGCTCCCA